AGTAGCATGTGCTCAGCAGGCTTTCTGACTAATGAACAAAATGTGCAGCTTGGGTTTTTTTGCCATTTATTTTTTTCCCCTCTAGCTTCTTCTGTCCATCCAATTAATAGATCCATAGTGATTTCAGCTGAGATGAGAAGCAAGTGGTCTCTTGTTTATAGCAGCTTCCCTCTCTCTCTCTTATTTTTTTATTTTTTATTTTTTATCAATGCATCTAAACAGTAATCGCAGCAGCACAGATGCAGCTCTAGACTTTTGGAGAATAAATATACCACAGCACAGATGGAGCTGTTGGCCTGGAACTTTCACTCTGAGCATCCACCTAAAATTTGCCATTAAAAAAGTAATGCTGCTTCTCCAGCTGTGCTCCTAGATGGAGACAGAAAGCTGGACCTGCCTTTAGATTCTTTGGGCTACCTCAACGGAGGACACAACAGTAATTCCTAGTTTGAACAGATCTCGCCCAACATCAATAGTCCCTTGCACCAAGCAGCACCCTAATGTCAGCCTGACTTCAGAGAGAGAAAAATGATCGCTCCATGGTATTACCCATGTTTCATATATAGAAGAGCTTCACATCCCCTGCTGAAAAGAAACATGTCCGAGAACATAATGTGGCTCATTTGGTTTTAATTTAGCATAACAGCCTAGCCACTGTAGTTAGTGGTTAATAAACGAGTTATCGTTTAGCATCATGTATGAAGCCAACCCTTCAACAATGCAAGGTTATGGAAACCATGGCTTAGCATGTGTGAACAAGGTCACTGGTAATCAGAATAGATCAAAAAAGGACAAAAAGAGGCTGGGATGATATGGGTTGTTTTTTTCTTTTTCTTTTAATGAGAACTTTATTATATTTCAAAGTACAGTTAAAATGCAAAAGAAAGGGCACAGCAAAGATAGAAAATAGAACTAAAAGACAAAAGACAAAACCTATAATAGTGGATGACGTGGATTGTTTCAATAGCTTTTAATACAGCTGTAACAGTGCTGTACAACTGCTAAAGTCATGCCACTTCCCTAAATTAGGATTCTGAAACAAGGAAGCAAGGATAAAATTTTGTCCTGAGTTGAGACCTGGCTTTGTCCATAATTCTTGATATATACTTGTCCTTTCTGATACATTTTCAGAACTGGGCTTCAGTACTAAATTCTAATATGCATGAGCACCAATGGATAATTGCATTTTGGTTTTCCTATTGATTCAGGTTCTTATCAAAATGCAAACCATGCTACTGGTAAATTATTTTCAAAATGCAAACCAAACAAAATTATCTTCCAGTCCCTTCAGCCACATTTGGTAATGTGAGCAGAGAATAAAAAGACAGTTTTCCTGTCCACCTCTGAACATCCAATTGAGACTATTTTTCTAAAAGGATATAATGTAATCAAAGGCCATTTGAAAGGTCCCCAAACCAGCCAAAATCCTGACTGAAATGGAGCTGGAATAGATCTGATCAGCTTCAACATGCTTCAACACATTCTACCCATCTACCTTCAAACCAGTTATTTAAAGTGTAAATTGAATAAAGTAAAAGAAATATAGTCAAAGAATGAGAGAAGCCATGTTGTTCTCTGCCCCCATAATTTCTTTAGGAATTGTATGGATATGTTGCCTTCTCAGAATATATTCCACTATCACTATTTATACATTTATCATATAACTTCTGTGACAAAACCACAGCACTTTTCCAGTGCTTTCCGGCAAAGGAATACCAAAAAGGAGTCAGTATGTGATTTATCGATTATAGAAAAACCTTTGATTGTGTTGATCATGTCAAGCTGAGGAAGGTGCTCAGAAAAATGAGAATCCTAGAACATCTTATTGTCCTTGTGAGGTCAGGTCAGGAAGCCACAGGTCAGGAAGCCACAGCCCAGACAAGAACATGCTGAAACAGACTGGCTCCAGGTTGGCAAAGGAGTGCGACAAGGCTGCATACTCTCCCCTTATTTATTCAACCTGTATGCTAAATATATATTAAGGGGAGCTGGATTGGAAGAAGATGAGCCTGGTTTTAAAATTGGAGGAAGAAATGTCAATAACCTGCACTTTTTATGACACCACACTGATAGCTGAAAATGTAAAGGATCTGAAAGCTCTAGTACTAAAAATCAAATAACACATTGAAAAAATGGGAGTAAAACTACATATAAAGAAGACCAAATTAATGACAACAGGTAGAACAACCAGCCTTAGGATTAACAATGAAGATCTTGAAATAGTGGATAGCTTTTGCCTTCTAGGATCAACCACCAACAGTAAAGGAACAAGCAGTCAAAAAATATGCCACAGACTAGCACTCAGTAGAGCAGCCATGAAGGTCTTGGAAAAGAATTCAAATGCTGTGATGTGTCTATGCCTACAAAGATCAGAATTGTGCAAGCCATGGTATTCCCTGTGACACTCCATGGAAGTGAAATTTGGACTCTAAAGAAGCAGGATAGGAAGAACATTGATGCTTTGGAATTATGGTGTTGGAGAAGACTCCTGAGAATATCATGGACAGCCAAGAAAGCAAACTGATGGATCATTGAACAAATCAACCCAGAGTTCTCACTCAAGGTACAAATGACCAGGCTCAAATTAGCCTACTTTGGACACATTATGCGAAGACCCAGCTCTTTGGAAAAGGCTCTGATGGTGGGAAAGGTACAAGGAAAGAGAAGAAGAGGATGACCAGCAGCAAGGTGGTTGGACTCAGTTACAGAAGCAATGAGCACACCGTTGGGAGACATGAAAGAACAGGTTAGGGATTGGAGAAAATCTATGTGGTTGCTTGGAGCCAAAAATGACTTGATGACACATGATCAAAAAATATCTTCTGTGACAAACCACAGTACTTTTCCAGTGCTTTCTGGCAGAGGAAACCAAATCCAGGGTGTAGTGGTCTTGGTATATCTCACTGTTTGGGGGAATAGGGACCTTGCAAAAGCAGGAGTCTGGCATGATTCGGCTCCTGGAAATAGACCAAGTGCTGACACAGACACCTGTATATATGACTTATTTATGTCGTGCTCCTGTAAGCAATATATTTTTCTGTGGGGTAGTGAACTTGGATTGCTCTCCTTCCTGATTAGATCAATCTTGCATCTAGTTGCAATGTCTACCATAAAATCCAATGCACACTTCAAAGGGTAGCCAGGACTAGAAAATTGTTTCATGCAAGATCTTTCATCCAAAGCATTGTTGAGGGTTGTATGTGTGGTGGTGTTTTTGTTTTAAACTGTTGACATCAGTTATGATTCCTAAGGTGAAACACAAACCACAGGGATATTTGCAAGGCAAACAAATATTCTGCCCCATCTTAATTCTGTATTGTCGTTGAAGCTTATGAAACAGAACTGTGTGAAATGACAGAGCAAATAGTCTTCGTGTGACATGCCAGGAGCCTCAACTCTCACCTCTGCTGCAGGAACTCCCTCTGGTGGCCGACAATGCAACACTATCATTCCTTCAATTGGGACTTCCTTGCCCTGGGGGTCTTGCTCAAAGTTTTTGCGTAAATCTGTAAAGAAGAATTTGGAAGGGTTAATCACCCCAAACAAGGTCAAACGTCTCTTGTAGTCAATGCAAATGTTGGATTCAGGCACGAAGCCATAATTTGGGTTTGTTTGGTTTTGGCTTAGCTTAGTATGTTCATAGCTGGGCATTATGCTTCGTAAACCACAGTTTATAGCTTAGAGTGATGTTTTAACCCAGTGAATTGTTGCTTAGTCAACAAACAATATTATATTGTAAGCAGCCCAGGATCACGTATGTGAGATGGGTGGCTATGTAAATAGATTAAATAAATAAATATTCAATAGTTAAACAAACCACAGCTCAGCACGATGTTTGAATCCAGCAAAAGCTAACACATGCATAGTAGCGCAAGTTTTCATAGGCAAAGACTTTATCCACTACATTATGGGAAGCCATATAGGTGATCTACTATACGTAACATACTGTACATACATACATACAAAATATGGGGAAATTATTATACATTTATCTCCCACTTATTTTCCAAGAAATTCAGAACAGTATACAGGTAGTCCTTGTTTAGTGACTGCCTCATTTAGCAACCGTTTGCAGTTATGATGGTGATGAAAAAGTAACTTTACGACCAAACCTTGAATTTATGAACTTTGTGGGTCTGTAAAGCAAAGGAAAGCTGAAGTCAGATCATAAGCACAGTTGCGGTTTCACTTAATAACCGAGTTGCTTAATAACCAAGTTGCTGGCCCCAATTTTGGTTGCTAAATGAGGACTATCTGTATGCAACAATCTTACCAACATTATCACATTCTGAAAACTGAGTATGCAGAAATGAGTCAATCAATACCAAGAATGAGAATCAACCACAAGGAATTCAAAAACTTAGGGAGGTTAAGCTCAGTCCTCTAGGCCTGTGGTAGAGGTTGAATGATAGGAGAGATTGTTCATGTTTGCTTTGTAACTGAAGTACATGTTGCTGCAACCTCTGGGTATGGTAGGAAAATCTAGTTGCTAGCAGCTGGATATTTGTATCAGCTGTCATGTTTTATAATGGCATTGGTGGTATACAAATATGATGAATATAAAAATCTGCCCATGATTTTGGATATCTTATACTGCTTGCAAAGGATTACTAATGTGCTTGGTTTATGTCATTCTTCCAATTCAATTTTCCAGAATTAATAATGGACACATGGATCCATTGCATCTTCATCTTGTCCTCTGCAACTTCTTAATTCTTTAAAATATTCTACTTATTTTGAAAGCCTGGTGTCTTTGGTTATAGTAGAACCTCTGCATCTTAACCCAAAATATTGGTTAATTGATGAAATAGCATGTCGGGAGAAAGGGAACCAGGCTGGGGCAGAATGTTGCCTCAAGGATTCTTATAAGGGAAAGATTAAATGATATGAAACTAATAAGACTCTGACTCAAATATGACATTGACAGAAGCCTTTGAA